AAATGTATTTGGATTATATAGCTTAGGTAATTGAAATGAAGCAGGAGAATGGCTTATCAATTTCTGTTAGTGCTGTAATTTCTTCATAGTTGTCTCCAAACAACCAAAGTCATGCCTCTGTACACGGATATCAACAGATGCATAAAAATTAAATGTACTACATTATTGCCAAAAGGAATTAGAGGATGTCAGTTATGCCATGTAATCAACATAGTTGACTACAGATCCCAGGAGGAGGTCAGTTTCCACAAATACAGTATTGAGCATCTACCCATCATTTTCAAGGAGGACATTAAAAATTGCATTGAAGTTCTGAATGTCATTTATAGAAAACCAGAGGAATTATGGAATGAACTTAAGTCATTACAGATAAATGTGAAAGGACACTGCCAAAGATGAAAAAGCAGAAAAAAGAAATCTAAAAGTCAGAATAAACCATGGAAATTTTTGAGAAGAGAACAAAAGCCAAAGCCCACAAAGAGAAAAATCTCTGAAAAGAACTTAATATAAGAGTTTCAGATAGCAGAGATGCAAAGTAGTATCGCAACATATATAAAGACATTGGGGATGAAAACAGGCATGAAAAACAAGGAAAATCTTCCAAAAGATATCAACAGAAGAATCAGAAAAGATTTAATAAACCAGTGGGCAGCATCCTGGGAAGGTCAATCTACATCCCAATACCAAAAAAAAAAAAAAAACCCACCATCCTTAATTTCTCCTGGTAGCAAAAATAGCAATACCCTGCCCTATGCTGATGACACTATTTTGACAACCAAATAAAAGGATCTGCAAACTCTAATAATAAAAATCAAGGAGCATAGTGAAAAATGGAACTAAAATTAAATATAAGGAAACAAATAATACAAATAATAACGAGCTTCAGAACTGACAATCTAAATAGCTTTTGTCTTTAAGATCAATCATCAATTGTAAAGGAACGAGCGGTCAAGACACTGAAGGTTAGCACTTGGTAGAGCAGCTATGAATGCCTCAGAAAAGATATTCAATTTCCATGATGTGTCTGTATAGGTCATCCTTGTTCAGTAACCACAACTGGGATTGGTAATTTGGTTAAGTGGAACAGTTGATACATGAAACTGTGACTGTTCCTATGGTCTTACTTCAGCTTCCATTTGCTTTACAGGGCTGCAAAGGTCATAAATAGAAGTTCCAAAGTTACTTTTTCATCCCCACTGTAAATATGAATTATGATTAAATGAGTCTCCAAATAAGGACTACAAAGATTAGAAGAATGCAAGCAAAGATATTTGTCATGATGCTCTATGGAAGCAAAAGTTGGAATTTGAAGAAGCAGGATTGGAGAAGACTGTTGAGCGCACCATGGACAGAGGAGAAAGCAAACAAAACAGATCATCAATTCAGTCAACCCAGAGTTCTCACTCAAGGCACAAATGATCCTGGTGAAATTATCCTACAATGCATTGGACACATTATGTAGAAGACATAGTTTTCTATAGAAGGCTAGAATGCTGGGGAAGGTTGAAGAAAAGAGAAGAAGAGAATGACCAGCAGGAAAAAAAAAAGTAGACTTAGATATACTGGCCATGAGTGAACCAATGGAAGTTCAGGAGCAGTTAGAGATAGATTGTCATGGAGAAAATCTATTATGTGGTTGTTAAGAGCTGACACCTACTTGATGGCACATTATCAGTCAAAATGTAAAGATACCCAAAATGTTTATCCTGTTTTGAAAGAAAGTAAAAATGTTTTTTTTATTTTTAATTACAGAAACACAAAAGGAGGAATTATTACTCAGTTATATGGCCTAACTCAGCAGTTCTCAACCTGTGGGTCACGACCCCTTTGGGGGTCGAGTGACCCTTTCACAGGGGTCGCCTAAGACTATCAGAAAACACATATTTCCGATGGTCTTACGAACCGAGACAATGCTCCTCTCATGGCAATTGCACAAGGAAGATTGCACAGAGGAGATTTTGTTACACACAGTTTTCACAACTACAAAACCCACGAGGAGCAAACTCTGGAAAGTTGCTACTTTGCTGCTTCCTCGCGTGTTGTTGCACAACCGGCAGGATTTAAGAGCGTCCACCATCTGCTCTCTCCCTCCCCACATCCTTTCCTACTCAGAAAGTGTCTGCGAAAAATCCGCTAGACGTTTCTGCTCTGCACTCCAACTGGCAAAAAAGTAAAGTTGAAAAAGCTGGCAATTGTCGGTGTGGTGTTTAAGACACCGCTTACCACCTTAAGAAGGTCCTGGGACTCTACAGAAAGTTGGACGTGCCGCTTTTTTTCTCCGATGGGTGGAGAGAGTTTTTGGGAGGGAGAGAAAAAAAAGCTCATCTCCAGGAAATGAGTAAACTAGGGGAAAAAATCGTAGTAACTCTACCTTCGTAGCTAAAAGCAACAGGCGTGTAGGATGCTCGGAGAAAAAGAAAGTGCTTCAGACAGAGGTTTTGATCGTAATCAGCACGAAAAGAAGCCTGAAACCTGGCTTGAAAAAGCAGATAAAGCGGCTTCTGTTGGTCCTTGTTTAGTTAAGTAAAACGTTTGTTGTGGGATGCAGTAAGTACAGTATTTACTCCTCTGCCGCAGAAAATAACTTTTCATTTAAGATATTAGTTTTTCTTTTCTTTTGGACATCTACTTTGTCTCTGAAAATGCAAGCTGCAAAGTGGAGTTGCTGGTTACATTTATTTTGTAAAGAGTATGCAACCCCATCCCCCCCACCGCCGTCTTTTTCGCTGCTAAAGATAGGAGTCACTTTTGTGCTTTTTTCTGCCCTCCCCCTTTCCTTCTGCTCACAGCCCTCAAACGTAGCTAAATGAAGAGTAGGAAAGAATGGACATACACCTTCTCAGAGCAGATTGGGGGTCACTCTGTATTCGGGGGGGAAAGTTTCAAATTTGCCCCAGTTTTTTCCATAGTCCGAAAAATTTTTTATGAAAAATTGAGGTACCGTATATTCCAGCATATAGGGCGACCTGGCGTATAAGACGACCCCGGGTTTGACTCCAGGTCGCAAGACGATCGACGCCGAGTCGCAAGACGATCGACGCCAAGTCGCATGTTTAGAAAGTTGTCTTATACGCCGGAAACTACCGGTATTTCCAGCGTATAAGATGATTGACACTGAGTTGCATGCCTAGAAAATTGTCTTATATGCCAGAAACTACCTTATTTCTGGCGTATAAGATGACTCAGCATATAAGACGACCCCCGAGTTCGGAGGTTGTTTCAACGCTCTCAAAAGTCATCTTATACGCTGGAATATACGATACTTTTAAAAAACAAAAAAATGATTTCCCACACTGCACTTTCCTCCTTCTAGGTGAGAAAGAAGTGATCTCAACCTTCGCACTGATGTTGGCTTTTTACGCATACTGTCACAAAATGTAGCAATGTAGTTTACTGTTGTTATATTAAGACTGTTACCCATGCTACACCATGCTTCAAGACAAAATTTCATTTATTTGTAATTAGAAATAAATATTTCACAATATATAATTACATATTGTTTTTATGATTAATCACTATGCTTTAATTATGTTCAGTTTGTAACAATGAAAATACATCCTGCATATCAGATATTTACATTACGATTCATAACAGTAGCAAAATTACAGTTATGAAGTAACAATGAAAATAATTTTATGGTTAGGGGTCACCACAACATGAAGAACTGTATTAAAGGGTCGCAGCATTAGGAAGGTTGAGAACCACTGGTCTAAATGATTCCATACTATATGACATCTCTAAAAATTGCCTTGTATATGGATATTAATGATATCATGAGAAGCTTAAAAAGACAAGCCTGGAATAATAAATGCAGTTTAAATTAGCTCTCATTCTTAAAGTTCATATTGAAAAGTTAATGCTATCAAATTGCTAAATAAGATTTTCTGGCAATAATCATCATTACTTCTGTAAGAGTATTTATTATTACTTCGAAATATATCAGCCAGGATATATTTATTGGCAGTCTCTGTTGATCTACTAAACCATTTATTTTTAGTAATAGACTGCATCTGAAACTATTTCATTTTATATGCCTCCCCCCATATTTGGAATACAGATGTGCAATTTTCAGAATGCAGTACCAAATTATTGTTTCATGTTGCATTCATTATCTCCCATGTATTCACTTAGTTCATCTATAAACCATATTCTCTCTGTCTTGGAGCCCCATGCAGCTAATACAGCATTCTCAAAAAACCCTCCATCAAATTAGCTTCGGCACACTGACTATATGATATGCATTTCAAACAAAGCACACACAGTAGACGCTGCTGGTCTAAATGCCTATTTTATTTGGATAATTACAAAATCACAATGAGAAATGATGACTGTGAAGTTCTCACCGAATGAAAATTGAAAAAAACAATGTCCTTATTTTGCTTATTCATTTATTAAATGTAATCCTATATACAAACTGCTTAGCTATCAAGATACACTAGCAAGGTGTGTGAGATTTTGTGGTAATTGGTATTATACCACTAAATACACAAAGACATTTATTTGTATATTAATGGCATATTTTTTAAAGAATTTATGCAAAGCGTTTTTGCTCAATCGGATGAAGCATTATTGACCCTACTAACAAATTATGAAACCTATATTGTTTTATTGAAAACAGAAAAGAAGAAAAAGAAAACTTTGTAAATGGGGTTCTGGTTATTGACCTCCACCAGATATCTCACTGCTGTGACTCTAAGGAGGGGGGAATATTTGATATCAATATCAGGTAAGGACAATTCAATTTAAGTCTTAATTAAAAGAGAATTCAATTGTCTCAGTCTGGCACAAAGACTAGAGAAATTCACCAGCATGAATTTAATTCTTATTACTCTGTCTGCTCCTGAGGCTTAAATAGCAAGCAATTCCTCTGCCTTTGATGACAAAAACATTAAGAAGGGGAAAAAAACAGAAAGCAGCATTATTACTATTTCAGACATTTATCTCAAGGTTATGCGATCAAATGACCCGCACATTGGAAAAATAGATGAAAAAAACATTACCTTAATATTATGCAATGATAGTTGGTAATTATGGTGGATACTGCCTTTACTAAAATTCCTCATGCTTTGTGTAGATTTTCCTTCGTTACTTGTGTTCAATATATGCTGATGAAAACAGCTTCATAGATAGCACTGTTTGCTTTCCATAGAATTTCTCCCCATCATTTCCCTTTACTGTTAATCTGACTGTATGGTTTTCCCCTTATGATCTTGTGGATAAAAGAATCATAGCTGCTAAGCTGCAGGCAACTTCTTCTACAGCTACTTCACCCCTTGGGGTTTTCCAGGTCTGCTTTTATCTCTCAGATGTTGGATATTGTTTGTCTCTGAACTCGTGCACTTTCATTCTTTTCTGTCCAGATCAATTATAGGATTGGCCATTACACAGCAGAAACTAGAGGCCTACCCCTTTTTGCCTTTCCCCTGGCAAGCTGCCATAAGGGACATGTGCTTATGAGAAAGCAAAAGAAAAAGAAAAAGTGGGATGGAAGTCAACTTAATTAACAGGCTTTTTTTTAAAAAAAAACAACAACAACAATACCTTATGCATGGATTGCAAAGGAGGCAAAGACAGTGAGGAAGGTTTATGCAATGTCATTTTTATAGCCAAGAAACAAAGATCACTCAGCATAAAAGATGGACCAATCAGTTTGTTACCAGTCCATATACCCAGTGGTGGGATTCAGCCGGTTCGCACCACTTCGGCAGAACCAGTAGCTAATTTTTGGTTGCCCAGGCCCAGAATTGACTTCCGGAAGTGGCATCCACACAGAGAATTGGTTGTTCACATATTTGAATGCCACCACTGCATATACCTGATCTGGACTGTACTGGCCTGCTTACCAGATTTGGACTGCAAAAATCCTGAAGACAGCAGGTTAGAAATAAAGAGAAAAAGCTCATGTTCTTTGCTGCTTTCTGTGATTATCTGGATTTTGCAGTCCCGATCTGGTAGCCCTATTGCTTATGACTCTGTTGCACATGTTTTCCCATTATTTTCATTATTTCATAATAACAGGAAAGAAGCAGAGAAATTATAAAATTTCCACAATGCTCTGCCATATTACAAAATTAATAAATATGCTTCCTCTAAAGATTGCCTTTTTAAAAAAATGTTGGTATATCTGAGCCATAGGAATGTATCTGTATGTATTTTTCTGAGTAGGTACATAAAAATTTGGGATGGGGGGAGGTAAGGAGGGAAAGAAGGAAGAAGGAAGGGTGAATATGGGTTGTGTAAAAGCCAATCAAATCAGTTTAGGTCAGCATTCTTAAACATACTCTACAATTCCATCCAGTTAGTTTCATAATACTTTCCAACATTAGATTTTCCTTGGATTTGCCTTGTCATTCTCCAAATGACCAGCCCCAATACTGAGCAGAAAATGGTCTCCTTAGTTATTTCATTTAGGCTTATGAAACAGCAGTAAAAGGTTCATTAATTCAGCTGTAATGACTATATCTGCTTTTGCCAAAGATGGAGAAATACTTTAAATAACTTGGGTAGCTCTTGGCAACTATGCATTTTGATTTGGATAAAGGGAGGCTGCTCTGTCTAATGAAGAACAATGTCTTGAGTTCAACATGATTTTTCAATTCTATCATCTTACTTTTACAACCATGCTAAATATTTCCCATATGAGACACATGTTCATGGATATATGTTCAGATATTGCTCCTTTTTTCTAGCCCCAAAACATTTAGACTATATATTGGAGAAGAAAAGATAATCCTAGACCATAAAATTATGTTAAAGGATATGGATTTTTCTTTTTTATTTAAGTATTGTGAAAGGAAAGTCTGGAAACGATCATTTGAGCCAATTAACCTTTTTTTTAAAAAAAGCATTTTGTTTAGCTCATTCAAAATCCACCTGCCATCATGGAGATTAATTATGTTCTTGTTCTGATGAATTAAAATATACATCTATTCAGCAACTGTCATTATTTGAAGTTATTAGCTTATCTTCCCTTTATTCTTAAAATAATTGTATGATATGGCATGATTAAGTTGCTTTATAATGGCTTCGCTCCCCATTTATCTTACTTCAGATTATTCTTACTAGAACTATAGAATAAGATGGCTCAAGGCAGGCCATTATTATGTAAATTAAAATCCAGAGAGTTATTTCAACTTTGCAGAAGTAGGATTCACATTTACCTAAACCCTGCAGCGAGAGATCTATTTTGTGTACTTTCACTATAAAATTTGTATCCTGCATTTTCACAATTTTAATAATATTTATTATTTATCTTTGCAAATTTGTCCTTGGAATAATGCATGATGATGGATATGCAGCTGTTACTTCAAACAAAAACCCCTTGTTTGACTTTGGCTTTTCTTTGCTATATTTAAAAATGGAATGGTTTTAGATGACATCATCATAACATATATCTTCTTTTTTGGTACAGTACAATATTGTCCCAGGCCCCTCTTTCCCAATTGTACTGCTGAATTCTGTAGCCTTTTTCAGAACAAAAGAAACAAAACTCTGCATAATATATCACTTTTTCTCACATTGGATGTCATGTGTTCAGGTTACTTTCAGGAACAGTTCTTCAGATGCTATGTGTCCTCAGTTAATCACGTAGACACATGAGCAATGGGGTAGGAGTGATAAAGTCCTATGGTTGAAATTATCTTCTCAAATAAACAAAGGATACTTATGCTGAGGATGTTTAATATTGTCAAGATGGAAGAAAAATTAATTTGGTTCACACATTAATGTGAATATGCTCAATTCATATTTCTCCAAACTATTGATGACCTTAATGTTTTTAGCTGATTTTTTTTAACTGTGTACAATTTGCAACCCCAAAAATCTACATAGAAATATATTTTTGACCATTTTCCCCCAGAATCCACTCGTTGGATGAACAAAAATTGCTTGCAAAGTCTTTACTACAAAATGCAAATAAACCTACAGTTTTATATATTATAGTTTATGGGAAATATATACAAAATGTGTATATTTAGAAAAAAATAGAAAAAATACATTCAAAGTTTAATAAAGGTTATCTTTCAAATTACAAGATACTTTTTTATCATGCTTGGAGAAATAAGAAACTTAGCACAATTCAAAGTGACAACTTCCTCTGTTTTGGTTAAAATATTTTTAACTTATGGTTTATTTATATATTTCACTTTGGGTTGATACTTTTGCTGGGGGTTTTTGTTGTTATTTATTTTTTTCTGTATTATTTGTACAATTTCAATCTTAAAAACATAGCTTTGGTATTTTATTGGGGAGAAATAGATGAACTACACATAAAAGTTGTTTGATTATAAACTTAACATAAAGATTTTTTAAAAAAATAAATGCATTTTATCATATTGATATTGAGGTTATTGTTATGTTGGCCTATTTTTGTTTGGTAGTTTTTTTATTGTGTAGATTGCAAGTTACCTTAACATAATTTCCTAAAAGACAGTTTCCAATAAAGAAAGAAGCTGAATTATAAAGTTCAAGATATTCAATTCAGACTCTTTTGACTTGAAAAAAAGCAAAAAAAAAAAAAAATCACATGTGTAATCAGCTCATCAAGGAAAAATGCCTGTGTTTTGCAACTGGCCTCTTTCAATAAATCTCAATATTTATTCCTTTATTCCCTCCTACTTCATCAATTTCAATTTACAAGCTCAGGTACAAATGAGCTTTGTATAGTCTCAGTATACCCTGCCGTGCATCTGTTGAATACCACAATAATTTGTTAGCCTTTAAATGACATTTCATTTAATTATTTCAAGAATATAATCTACAATTAAGATCTGAGTCTGAATAAATAAACAGATAAAAACCTCTTTTCAATATTTACCAAATACAGATGAAGAGAATCTGCCTATCCAAAAGAGCATAAAAATCTTGAATAAATAACATAATAACAATAATAGTAAAGTTGGAAGGGACCTTAGAGGTCATCTAGTCCAACCCCCTGCTCAGGCAGGAAACCCTATACTATTTCAGACAAATGGCTGTTCAGTCTCTTCTTAAAAACTTCCAGTGTTGGTGTATTCACCAATTATGGAGGCAGGTTGTTCCACTGGTTAATTGTTCTAACTGTCAGGAAATTTCTCCTTAGTTCTAGGTTACTTCTCTCCTTGATTAGTTTCCATCCACTGCTTCTTGTCCTGCCTTCAGGGGCTTTAGAGAATAGCTTGACTCCCTCTTCTATGTGGCAGCCCCTGAGATATTGGAACACTGCTATCATGTCACTCCTCGTCTTTCTCTTCATTAAATTAGACATACCCAATTCCAGCAACCATTCCTTATATGTTTTAGCCTCTAGTCCCATGATGAGAACTGATTAGATTAGATTAGCTGATGAGATTAGGAAGACAAAGACCTCTAAAATCTACATATCCCACCCAAACTCTAAAAGACATGATCTTTGGGGATATAATAGGATTAACTCACCAATAACAAAAGGGCACACTCTGACTCAGGTCAAAGTACATGACACAGGAAATACAAAGCCTCAAACAGGAACAGGAAACAACCCCAAAAGCCCCCTAACCATCTTTGTTGCTCTTTCTAGAGTCTCAACATCTTTTTTACATCGTGGTGACTTGGATGCAGTATTCCAAGTGGCCTTGGCCTTACCAAGGCATTGTAAAGTGGTATTAATACTTCATGTGATCTTGATTCTATCCCTCTGTTAATTCAGCCTAGCACTGTGTTGGCTTTTTTGGCAGCTGCAGCACATTGCTTGCTCATATTTAAGTGATTGTCCACTAGGACTCCAAGATCTCTATCATAGTTACTACTATTGAGCAAGGTACCCCCTATACTATACCTGTACATTTGGTTTTTCTTGCCTAAATGTAGAACCATACTTTTTTCACCGTTGAATTTCATTTTGTTAGATAGCACCCAGTGTTCAAGTCTGTCCAGATCCTCCTGTATCTTAAGCCTGTCTTCTGGAGTATTGGCTATTCCTGTCAGCTTGGTGTCATCTGCAAATTTGATGAGTTCCCCATCTATCCCCGGGCATTTCGAGAAAATGCCCAAGAATATATGTAAGATTCCCAACTAATGTATATTACTGGACAGCATGGATGTCAAACCAATCGTTTGCAAACTGGATTTAATAAAGAAGCTTTAATGTGCAAAACCAAGGTCTCCTCCAATAAAAGTAGTAGCCTTTTCCCTTCTTTTCTATAATGATTTGCTCTAGTAATTCTATAGACAAAGACTCTAAAAGCTATCTCCTACATATGCCCAGTAAAATAAGAGTTCTAAGGAGAACTAAAGATGATATTTGTTCATGCAAACTCATGTTCAGAGGCTGACTTTATTTTT